TCTTCGTTTTCTTATTTTGAGAAGGTGTGTCCTCTTCACTAAACTCATCTGATTCCACATCGTACACATCATTATCCTCTGCATCCATTTGAATTGGTGTCTGTAAAAAACAAACAAATGGTTTTAAACATAAAAACTAGCTGCCTATCTTCAAAACAAAATATTTCAATAATTGAATAAAATCATCAAAAGACAGAACCATCAATTAAACACAAACGTAAGCCACGCCTCTCTAAATATATATATCTAATGTTCCAAAACTTGAATCTTGAACATACACATTATTAGGTATTGAAAAGCATTASATTGACACGTCTAACAAAACAACAATACGTTGTTATATAAAAAACTCAAAACAAAATTGTAACACCTCACATATCTATCGTTCACAATATTCGTAATTTTGTTTACTAGTACATGATGAATACATGATTAAAATAATAAACTGACTTGTGAGTCTGTGACTTACAGAATAACGAACGAAGCCACGAATGTGGAGAGTGGAGACTTGATAGAGGCGTTTTAGAAACTAGTTTTTCTTTCAATATTTATAGTAAGAGAGAAGTGGAGAATTAGGGTTCTCGGCCAAAATAAATTATGTAAAAAATATTTAAATCAATGTACTTTCTATAAAATATTTTTTAACAAAATGTATTACTAAATTTATAAATCATATCAAATTATATATTTATTTCCGGGCTTTCCGGGCCGGCCCGAGCCCAACCGAGRTAAAGCCCGAAAATTCAATAGCCCGAATGGGCTTAYCCCGAAAGGCCCGATTTTTTTTGGGCTTATATATTTAGGCCTGAGCCCGATATATTTTAGGGCCGGTCCGGGCCGGGCTTCGGGCTTTGACCCTAATTGACATGCCTAGGAAGGACTAGCTAGCTCTTAAGGAGATGAGTTAAGTAAAGGAATAAACTCACTCATGGGATAAGACTCATGATCAAATTAGTATGTGAAGAAGACACGAAAAGCCAAGATCAGGTTAGGTGTCAGCAATATTAAGCACATGTTGGTTTTTCATCAGAAGTGAAAAAGTAGGTAACTCAGGTTTGATGAATTGCTTGATGATGATTGGGACATCTGATGATCAGTTGCAAGTATCTCACATGAGTATGAGTTTTGAGATGGAAGACACATTGAAGTGGTTCAGTTGTCTCTTAAAAGAGAAACTGGAAGAGACTGGTTGGTTGTTATGCATACAGTGTCTCAAGAGCATCGATGCAAGGGAGAGTTCAATGTTGTTGGGCCTGGAGGATAAGGAAATCAGGTCATCTCAAAGTTGGTAAGCAGCTGAAATATACTCGTTATGGGATGTGAATGCAGAGGTGTCAAACTGCATTAGAAGAAATCAAGTACAAGATATATTTGTGTCTTTTCTGCATCACATGAAGAGAATGAACGAAATTTTCTCAGGAGAACATTTCTTTTCTATATGATACTCACGGGAGGGTTTACAAGCATCCATGTAAGGGTATTGAAGGATGTTGATGAATCAGAAGCAAGTCTGATTTGATATAGAGAAATGTGGTGATGCAGACACCAAATCTGGTGTGTTCCTCATACACGGAAATGTATTAGAGGATGGTGTAACATCGAAAGGTGATATCTGATGTTCTAGAGTAGATATCATATGGGCTGTTTCAGGAGAAGTCTTAAAGACATCTTGAAGATATAGACTAGGAGCTAACTAGTGTGTCTTGTCTCATCATTGGAGTTATTTCTCGGGGAAGCCATTTGCTGAGAAGCAAAGTTAAGATTCGTCAGTGGTAAAGACATGTCAAAGTAACACTGATGAGAGGTGAGAAATTCTGATTTAATTTAATTCAGAAAGAATAATGATGTTGGTACCAAAGTTTTGGTAAATGCTGCATACATGAAGGAGTTTTGCAGTGTAGTGTTTACAGCCATAGAATGACTTCAAGGGATCTAGAGTGAAGTGCTAAAGGCTGTAAATTGGTGTCTCAAACAGGTCACGTGTTTGTGAGTATGAGACAAGGTCAGAAGGAACTAGCAGTGGTCAAATCTGTTGGTGTGACAGTTAGGCTGATGCAGAGTAGTTCGAACAAGGATTGAGCAAAGAAATTTGTGTCGAAAGTCTTCCTAGCCGAGTGGAGTTAGGCGGCGTGTTCTGCTGGAAATAGTAGCGGTGCAAAGTGATGTTCAAAAGGATGTTCATATTCAGTATGTTCAAACGTTGAAACTGATGTTGTATAAGTCAAAGACTTTTGCAGGGAAATGAAGCAGGAGTTACTAAGAGGTTTCTGTAGTTGATTCCAGAGGAATTTGGTTTGTCAGCGAGGTTCTGTAAAACGTGGTTTTTTGGACTAAGGTTGTGTCGAAAYTCTCTCCAGCAGTGTTGATAGTTGGATGGCGTGTTCTGTTAGAAGTAACAGCGGTACAAGAGGAGTTCAAGACTGAGGTGTTTAAACAGAGTCAGTGTTTAAACAGAGTCAGTGTTGAATCAGGGAGTGTTTCAGGCTTGAAGCATGTATGATTCAAAGTTAGCTGCACAAAATTCAAAGACTTTGATTCAAGACTCAATGCGCATGAGTGGATTTAAAAGTTCAGTAAGGGAATCAAGTCGCAGAAAGAAAGAAAGAGATTTTATCACTAAAACAGATTCATGGATGTTATAGTGACCATGGAGGAAGATGTGTGGTTGATAAATTCAGAAGTAATAAAGCTTGTGAAGTTTCACGTTGGTGTAACAAGCTTTGGTTGTTTGTTGAATATATAATCTTAGGCAAACATGGCTATGAAGGAATCAAGAGATCAATGATTGAGTTGAGCTTGACACAAGAAGTGTGTAGCAGCTGGTTTTACAACTCAAGATGAGACATGGGAGTAATGATAACTCAGGAAGACAATGTGTTTCTCACATATGGAGTTCATCAACGGATTGTCTAGTTCATTGATGGTATAGTAGATTTATGGTGATTAAACTACTAAGGTGATTGGTTTGCTTAAATTCAAACTAATGCAGGTTTACGTGAAGATAAAAGTGCCAATTCAGAACCTGGAGTCAAAGGTTCTAAAAGGCAACTCTCAAGGAGGTTTCAAGTTGGGCTCAAGGTGGAGATCCCA